ATGTACAAAAACAGACTTGTGGAATTAAACTTTTAGAATAAGTTCTTACCTAAGATAAACAGCAGAAAATTTCTTCTCCTAAGTATTTGATACAGTTGTAAGAAAATAGGAGGAAAAGAGTTGTGCTGCAACAACTGCAAAAAAAGGTATCTCAACTTTGTAGCATTCACCATCCCTATTTCATAGTAAATATCTCAAATTGAGTAAAGCAACAGAGTATTATATCTTAATATACAAAATGTAATTTGTACGGATTATAAAGTTCTACTTAACATATTATTAAAAGCATCCTCCCCACTTCTAGATCTGTACTGAATTCAATGCTCCTGGGGAGCATCAGGCAGTTTGTAAATCCCATATGGTGCTAGGCATGAGGTAGGTTCTGCAGTGCTCAGCTCCATCAAGAGAACAGTGCTTCTGGGCAGATAGAACAGCAGCCTTTTCAGCACTTGTGCATATTTATAAGTTAAGATTTAAGCACTACAGCATGCCGAGTATGCTAGGCAGAAGCTTGGATTTCTATTAATTCTATTAATGTGCACTTTATTAATCTTCATTCACATGCAGTATTGTTCTTAACACAGCAGTATGTATCTTAACATTTGCTTAAACCATTATCTCTTCAAAACTAATGTGTTAGGAAATAAAAGCAACATGTTTCAAGCAATTTTTTAATTGAATTTGTTGCATTTGATTTTTAAGCCAAAAATCTAACAGCTACAGAAATGTAGATTTTTCCCCCCTTTAATAAAACTGCTACATCTTGAGGATAAATTCTTTATCCTTGGAAAAGTCAAACACAAAATAATCCTCCATACACTTTGTCAGACTACTTGGATGAACTAATGAGAGCACAGTGGTCAGACAGAAAGAGACAGAAAGCAAGGTGTTTGAAAGTCTTAACAGATTAAGCTGGTTCAGTAAGTTTGTGACCACACATTCTAGATAATGTAAGGCTTTCTGCATTGCTTACACATATGTGTACATGGAGAAGCAGTGGTCTATCAACAACTGAAGAACTTGCCCATTTGTTTCAGTTGTTAAAAACCTTATACTTCCAATTCATCCTGGCCAAGTAATAAAAATATAAATTTAAAAAAAAAAAAAAAATTAAACAGAACAAAGATTCAAAAATTGAATGAAAAATATTAATGTGGATTTTTCAAACATAGTAAGACTGATTATAAGTTATGTAATTCACCCAAGAAGATACAAATGGTTTTCTACCCTGAGCACACATTCTACTTGTTCACATAAGACCTTTGAAATTAAACCATTTGAAAAGGTACAGAGAAATTACTTCCTATCTCCAAACACGTAATTTAGGGCAATAATAATAACAATAATCTGGGGCGCCTCGTGAATAGATGGATACCAAAGTCAGACAGAGTACATGGAAAAAAATAGAATTTCCCTGAGGACCATTAGGGGGTCAAGTCATGTAGAAAATTTTAGAAGCGGTTCCTTTATGTCCATCACTGGGAAGTACTATGTGAAGAAAGCTGCTTAGTAAACTGTAAATGCAGTAAAACGTAAATGCCAGATGCATCACTGTTAACTACATGTTGTCCAAAATTCTGCATTTTTTTGGTCCAATATCTTTCTACCTCCAAGAGAGGGATTCTAAAAAATTTATTATACAAATGGGAGCCAGATGTTTCATTCATCAAGAAATATGAAAATTATTTTAAAATAAATAATACAGTCTTATGAGCAAACTTCTGCAGGCTTTTGGGGCAGAGAGTGGTTCCTGCAACGTACAGATGGTACAAAAAACTATGGCTTATTTTTTTCTAAATCTTGGCGTGAATGAAAAGAAATAACCACATGATGGCAGCAGAATACACGACATGAGGAAGAATCTGGTACAAATTTCATGACCAAATATGTGAATTTGGAGGAGTGTTGCCTTCAAACGTCTTTTAAGGAGTAGCACCAAGAACAAAGCTACAACCACAAATGGATAATTGAGAAAGTTTGTCAAGTTTGATGTAGTAGTTCACCAAGGACATTGCTGTAAGTCATTAAGGACAAACAGATCTGAGAAGCAGAGCATCTGCAAGTAGAATACAGCATCTCTTAAACAACTCCATATGAACACCATATGAAGGAATAAGCTAGTAAACCAAATGATCTTCAGCACTGAATGAAATCAGAGCTACACTTGTTTAATCTCATCTCATCATTGGCTAATCAAATTACACACATCACATTATGTATTATTACATAACTAGAATTACTTTTGTTACTAGCATACACATGAAGAAAATGGTACTGAAAGACAAATATTCAATCAAGAGATAGAGAAACCCTCACAGTTTTGAGCTGTTCTTTATGGACACCTGGGAACAAATATCTCATTCCATCATTTCTTGCTATTATCTCTCCTTGTCCTTCTTTGTCTCTGCTTAGTATGCTCAACTTTACTCCTCATTTAGCTCTCACTGTTATATTACTTCTAGACCCTTAGGCAGCATGTCTAATTGCTACAGCCTGTCACTCAATCAGGCCTATCCTTCTAGATACTATCCTAATCTTGTCACCATATATGTTACTCTCAAAAAAATAAACATCAATTTGCCACCAAACATTTGGATGTTACAAAAGTGTTTTGCAGGATTAGTGTAGATTCAGTGAGATTTGGGACATATGAAGTAGTTCCTCAAGTTCTCATTGCCACTTGTCCTCTACCTTGTGCCCTCTACACCACCTGCACCTCTAGCTGATCTAATCTTTTCAAGACTGAGAGCTCTCCCCCAGAGAGTTAACCAGTAGAGGAGGCTACCACAAAAAGTGGGGCTTTCTTTCCTTCCCTCTTCAATCTCAGATTTGAGTAATCTCATTTGTTATCACCTGCCACTGTGAGTCACAGCACTGCTTAATGTTATTCACCACACTCTCTTGCATATGCCTTCAGATGATACACAAGTGCCAAATTGCCAGTTGCCTTGAATTCACAAGACAGCCTTAGGACAGAGCAATTCAAAAGGATCAGGAGAGTACTTTTCACATGATGTGCAAGCAAAGTGTCAAACTCTTTCCTAGGGCACAAATAGGTAAGCACCATTTTTTTCCTCTCAAACACAGCTTGTTTTCTTGAGCAGGCTCATACTATTTATAGGTCCCAACTACTTCACCAGCTTTGAGAATAAAGTTGGCTTAACCTCTTCCTCCCTATCAATATGTATTCTAAAGGTTGCCTATGAAAATTGTTTGTGATTGAGGAGCATTGGTTAAAATATCAGATATAGCAGACTAAAAAGCAATTATTGGCAGGATTCCCATACAATATCTATGACAATATTTTCTAAGGTAATAATGTGAAGAATACTGAAATGATTTTTATTAATAATGGGATTTTTCTCTTCTGCAGAGAGAAGTTTTCTAGCAACTTTTTTTTTTTTTTTTTTTTTTTTTTCCTGAGGCAACAGGCTGGAGTTGGAGTAGGGACTGTTTTCCATTAGCAAAGTACATAGAGTTTCCAGAAGTTTCATTAACCAGCTTCAGCAGCTCTGAGAGTATAGATTCAAATGCTTATTGGGACTGTTATACTGTACTGCAAATCCCAGAAACATTGCCTCCAATCAGTATGATAGAGAAATGATTTCCAGATGTAGCATATCTAACCTATAATCAAGGAACCCACCTCAGGTGAACCCATAGCACTTAGATCTACTTTGCGGCATGTTTTAATTGTTTTGTATATGATAAAAATTTGCTGCTAACTAGAGCAATCAATCAACTTCTGCATAAGAGACAAATAAATTTACAACACTGAGATACAGAAACATAGATTTCTATTGGAGAAAAGAAGTTATTTATGAAGTTCAACTCTAGGCTGCTTATGAGTACAGCGGATGTTGTCTCAATACCTAAATATTTTCTTTTAATGAGGGACATTTTTGTTAAGAGGAAGTTTATAAGTATATCCAATACAGAGATGTTTGCTCACTAATGTTTATAATTTTCAAATGGTCTGTTCATATGTCTAAGTAGATAATTAATAAAAGATGAATAGCATAATATCAAAAGACATCTGTGTTAGCTGCAGAAATATAATGAAGGCAATTTAGTAAGTTTCAGAACAAAACCCACAAATATTTTCTCAGTTCAAAAGACCCAAATGAATCTTCAATAAGAATCTTCTTAACTCAGTGCAGTGATTTGCACATATGGTACTTTCTACCCACAAACTTCTTAAAATACTCCTTAGGGACATGGATTGTACTACAGGTGTATTTTAAAATGTCATCATAAACAGTAGGATAAACATCTCATCAGCCAAATAGAACAGTGAACAAAAGGGTCCTTAGTTCACAGAATGATTTAAGCATCCTATTTGAAAGGGCACATCTTTGGTTGTGAAGGGCACATCTTTGGTTGTGAAAACATGTGAGTCAAGGAAAAGCAACCTGTGGCAGGGGTTACCTGTAATCATGGTGCTGCAAACTAGAACTGTCAATTTGTACAAAAGGCCCACTCCCATTTCTGGAAAACTTGGTGAAAGATAAATCCTTTGCTTATTCTTGTAATGGACTGGGCCAATCCAGTTGTTTGAAGAGGTATTTATTAAAAGAGCCATTAATGGATAAGAAAGCGAATGTTACAATGGATGTTGGGAAATACTGTTTTTCTGAATTGTAACACAGAAACAGAGAATAACACTATGAAATTAAGAGGTAGCATATTTGAAAGGAGTGAAAGTGAGTACTTTTTCTTGGCACCCAAAATTGGACATACTGTCCAAGAAAACACTGAAGGGAAAAAAATGCAAGAGTTAAAAAGAAACTGTATACTTATGAGGATAGCAAAAATTCCAGAGTTATAATTGCTATTGCTAAAATTACTTTCCAGAAGAGTTTTTAAAACGTGCTCCAGGGCTCAGACCAATATCTTACTAATAAATAATCTGATGAAGCTTAATTTATAGGAGCAAATTATTCTTTGGAAGTGTCTAGAATAGCATTCTGTTAAAAACATTACATGAAAAATCTACTTACTGAGTATGGCAGCTGTCAAATAAGAACCGTTTGTAAACTTGCTCATTGCTTCATCATTTCTCCATCAGAGACATTTTGATAGATTTCTTCCAGCTGCAAGAGAAGAGATAACAATCTTTGGGAGTTAGTCCAAGGTTAATTCAATTACGATTTTACTAATGTATAACTTCGGGGGTGTGGGTCTTGGGACAGGATGGATACACTTTATAGAAATAACTTTAGAAGTTCTGACTCACATTGTTGTCGTGAGTCACAGTAGTACTGACAAAAACTACTAATTAGTTAACTTCACTAATTTTATACAAAAGTAATGGAAATATGATAAAATATATTCATGGAAATAACTCTAGAATATAAATAGTGTTTCAGTGCAATTGTAATATCCTATGCAATTTAATGGCACAAACTCATTTTTTTTTTAAGAAGTTAATCTCAGGCTATTATTTGGAATAAATGAAATCTGCGCTGTGGGTCCTTCTGTGAATTTGTTTATGTTGGCATATTTCCTTCTGGACATGAAGGGTCCACTGATTTTGTGTAAATGCTTTCAAAATCAAATGTGGGTTTGATTATTTTTTTTAACTATTAAAGTTTTGGTTTATTTGTTTGTTGATGGTTTTTGATTGTTTTTGTTTGTTTATTTCATTTTAAAATTAACCTAATAGCATAACCATTTTATTTTATTTTGTAAATAACTCAGAGAACTAGGCATAGTAATGTAGAGGAGGGAGTTCAGCATAAGCTTTAATAAGATCTAATGTGATGACTGCATTTTCATTAGCTAGTGATGAATTTAGAAACTCCTTAAAGTACGTACAATTACTCAAGAGAAAGAAAAACGTATCTGCAATGCTGGGAAATTGCTCCTGCATAATCAAAGAAAGTTCAAATCATACCCATCCCACCTGCTCACAGACTTCAGGACTGCTAAAATGGCACTAAAATCCCCAGCTCCCTAAGCTTATCATTTACTTTCTCATAAGTTTATACCTCAGCAGTCTTTATAACAGCAGCTAGAACATGATATTTAAACAAGGTTTATTATGTAAATACAAATATATATTATAGAAATAAAGCTGGATCTATCTTGCATTGTTTCACATTTTACTTTTGAAGAACAAATGATATTAATTTGAGTTTATTTAATGTTAAATATATTTCAGCCCAATTGAAGTGCTATTAAAATCAGATTTGAATGGTAGTAATCAGTGGAATATATAATTGATCATCAAAGAATCAAAATAAATTGTTCAACTAGTGCTAGAAAGAGAACTGGAAAGGGCATCAGAGTAGTGAATGAGGCACATCAACATAAATGAGAAATTAACAAAGGTAATGAATATAATTTATTTTCCAATCTAGCTATAAAAGAAATAATTCCAAACAGAATTTCTTAATTAGACTTGTATTTTCCCTGCAGGCCAAAATACTTCTGGGCTGAGGAAGTATCCAGCTAGATGGTCTCTGTGGCCTCAAATCAGCCTCTTTGGTTTTAATTTTTGCTCTAAGTTAAAAAAAGAAAAAAAGTTAAAACTTTCCAATCTAAAAAGAAAAATATACAGGTATTTCTCCAGAATGGATGATGGAGAAAATATTGATCAATGTCTTTGTTAATGACCTTGATGATGGGAAGGACTGTGCTCTCAATGAATTTAAATGTTTCAGATCAGCCTTAGGCTGTCAAGTCTCCAGCTTCAGTCCTGACACTGCCTCATAGATGGATCTTGGCCACACACTGCTGTAATTGCTCTCTGGATGGACCCCTTGGATACATGCTTTAGTCTTGTCACCTGACCAATTTCCAACACCATATCCTGGGACTGGAGCCTATGGCTGGGCCTGGTACCGGGTTCACCTCCTTATATGTCTGGGGCTGTTGAAGGATCCAGCCCTGGTTTCTGCCCCCACACGTGGAAACTATAGGAAACTACTACTTCCAGCTCACCTGACCTCTGGGAGAAGTTGGCCCTTACTGCACACTGATGAAGAAAAAAAGAAATCACCAGAAAGCAAATTTAAGAAGAAGATAACACTCACTTATACAAAACATAAAATAGTGATGGAGAAAGCAGAGGGAAAGACCTTCTTTCCTTTAGACTGTGCATCATAAAACTATATTTTGATGGCTTCTCATTGCTGCAGAAGACAGGCGTGCAGTCCTGGAAGAGAAGTAGCATACAGTTTGGATGTCCCTCCATTGGATCTCTTACTACTGAATTCAAGAGAATTGCTAGGAATAAAAATAATTTTCTCGAACTGGTATCTCCCTAGTATTGGTATTCTCCTTAACAGCATGTCACAAAAGAGTAGCAAGTAGAACAGGAGATAACTCTGAATAACTTGGAAAATAAATGTGTGAAAATCTACAGCTTTTTATCTTCTTTGCTCGAAATATGATCTTTGTAGCACCTTTGACAATATCCTACTATCCTATCCAACTACTTCTTTTATAGTGTTCCAGCTATAATAGAGGAGAAAATACAGAATAACAGTTATACCTAATGCTAGTGAAGTTTAAGTGAGGAAAGAAAATAGAAAGGAGTTTAAAAATATGGTAATTTTTCTTAATGTAGCCTATCAGATGTTGCTCTTTCTGGCAGAAAAAAAGTCCACCTTTTATTTCCAGGCTGATGTAAGATGAAAAATAATACATGTGATTTTCCAACTTAGGAAAATTTCTGATCTGTAAAATGTAACACAGATTTCCATAAATGAAGATAAAAATCACTTTTACTGAATTTCAAAAAGTATCTTCTTGGAGTTGTTTCAAAATTTTTATGTCACAATAAACAAAACTGAATGGTTTTCAATTTTTGCTTGTTTGTTTTTCTTTGTTTTTATAAGTTAAGGGTCAATCAATCCAATGGATACATGTTCGTTCCCTAGTCCTAGTTTTCGTCTTCCACTCCAACATCCAGATGCATCCCATGTCTTTCACCATGGTAAGTATATTACCCTTAATATTTCTACATTGTTATAAGATTCTACTTATTCAACCTCTACTCTTGTCTTTTTACAAGCACACACAACTTTCCCTGCATCCTCACATTTTTTCAGCTGCAGCCCTCCCTGAAACTTTTCTTCTTTCATCTGTGACCCAGCTGAACTACCTACTTGTTCCTTCAATCTCTGCCCATGTTTGATCTGCCAGGAGTGCATCAGCAAAGTTTGTAGTCCGGCTGATTAGCTCACATTTGTTTTTATTTGGATCTTCAGATCCTCTCTTTCTCTGCATTTAGGCATCCAGAAAAAAAGGGATAAAGATCAGTTATAGCCATCTACTTTCACAGAAGTCAAAAGAACCGAATGGTTTTGAGATATCTAGATATCGACATACATAGCCGATAATGGCCAAAATTGCTTTAAAATGTTACTAGGGAAAAAAGTATTACTGGTGGCTAATGAAAAAAAAATCTGTTCATATAAGCCTAATTTCTTTAGGAAGCCAGGTAAAAATGGCCATTGAATGGAGACAGTATCTGGCCATTTAAATTTAGTATGTTCAACCACTTAGTAACTTAAAGTTGTGGAAAGAGAGGTTACTGTGAAGGGTTACTAATCCTTGGGCTACAGATTTGCAGTGTTCAGCCAGGAAATTAGAGCAGCTACCAGGAAGAGTAAAACTTTCATGTTCAGACATGAAACAGAGATTTGCTAAAAATTGATTAATGTCATATCCTTGCTGTATTAAAGATAGATAACAAGCTTCTGGCTGCACTGTTTAAAATCTTGCCAAAGAATATCCTTGCTGTCTGCAGAGCCACTATGTTTCATGTGGAATTAAACAAACAAACAAAAACCATTCTGGCCCATAGGCTAACGTGACAGATGCCTGCAAAATCATTCATTACGAGGCCAGATTTTCCATGGATATTAAACATTGAATAATATTTTGTTGCTAATTTGGCGTAAAACAATGATGTGATGCAGATCCTTTTGCTTTTTCCAATTGAATGAAGGAGTACAGTTCAGTCTATGCAACGTCTTAGCTGAGTATCAAATATGGGATCTTACGTAGGTCATAGCAGAGACAAGTATACAAAGGTTATTACACTAATGAGATAGATAAAAATAGAATGAAGACAAAGGAGAAAAAATGACAGGTTGAGAGAAAATTCAGTTTATCATTTCCTGTGGCAATATTTATGCCAAGTGTTGATAGATCTCAGACCACTTAGTATAGTAACTCATTGTGAGCAAAGAAAGTATGACACAAATGTAATTCTTCTAAGTGAATAAGCTGTTTTTTTCAGTGAAATATCTAAATGACTACAGCTTTTTATTTGGAAAATGTATTGACATTAGAACTGGACTCAGCCAGAGATGTAGAAGCAAGTTGGAAAGTGAATAGCCCTGAGATAAGTGGATTAGCCAGACTACTGTCACAGCTCTCTAAGGTGGAGAAGTTTTCAGTGAGTACTACAGCACACGTACATTATGTGCTGTCCGTTAAATAAGAGAAAAATGCACTGTGAAATCAGAACTAAAAGTCCAAATGAGCACATTACACTTTCAACAAACAGTGGCAGATGATTTTGTGTGGATTCAGTGTATAAATATTACCAATCTGTTTTGTCCAATGAGAAGTCTAAATAAAAGGGACTCATTTTAGGAAAAATCATAAAACTTTGCCACAAATTTTGATGGAATGTAGATAGATGTAATAAAAAATATTTTTATTATTTGCATCACAAATTGTAAAAATATGTCTATATCTTTTTTTTTTCCCCACATGAGAAAAACACATTCACATACCTAGACAAAATTATGACAAGCTTATCAAATAGGTGTCAAGCTCAGCAAAATGTGCATTGTAATTTCAGCATGATCATGCTTCTTAACAGGGCTTATACTCTTATGATTATTTTAGGGCTACAAAGAGTGATTAGGAGCATGGAGCATCTCCCATACAAAGAAAAGCTGAGGGACCTGAGGGCAAGAGAGCACTAGAACAAGGTGATCAGAGAGGTCATGGAGTCTCCTTCTCTGGAGATACTCAGAACCTGCCTAGATGCTTTCCTGTGTAACACACAGGAAGCAAATTGAGAAGGGGTTTATGTCATATTTTGTGCGGGCTGCATCACCAAAGAACC